GGGGTGGGGTGGGGTGGGGTGGGCGGATGGGGGGGTTGATGCAACCCCACCTGCTGCCCGGACATGTCCACGACGAGGTTTGTTCACAGGTCCTGACAACATTGCGGGAAAGCCGCGGCGAGCTCGAATTTCGGGCAGGTCCTATTGCAGGAGCTTTGCGCCACTTTTGTCTTCTGGCGCGCACCTTGGGCAGCGCTGCAGGAACAACCGTTCAACCGAAGTGGACGTCTATGGAACAGCACTGGCAGATCGCCGTCTGGGAGAATGGCAGCCAACTTGCTGTGCTCTCCTGGCATGTCAAACGTCTCTTGGCAAATGTTGGGACATGTCGAGTGTATTTAGCCCAGACTCGAAGCTGAGAACGAAATCACAGTCGATCACCCGACAGAGACTGTACGTCACACCAGGGGTTGGATCTTAGTGCCCCCCCCAAGCGTGATGGTAAGGAAACGGACAATTACTCACCTCACTCATCGCAGACCGAGCGCGAGAGATCGCATCCCGAAGCTTGGCAACTAGACTAGACGTTCAATTTCTACAGAAGCTGCACGAATGACAGTAAAACAACCGGAATTTCGACACTGTTGAAAATGCAGCTCGATGCCTGCTAGCACCTGTATGACGACATCGTCGAACCGCGGCAAGTCGAAACTGGACATAATATGCGCCGCAGAGGCACGAAGAAGTCAGTACGACAACCCACCACCAAAGGGCTTGCTCTTTGAAGGCCTTGCTTCTGAGATTCCAAGCGCTTCTGTCGGCGGCGCGCCTAGCAACTTGACCACATGGCAGCAGCTGTCAGCATGCACACACTCCATGCTCGCCCAAGCACCTAGCACACCCTATTCCATCCCACCTCACCCCATCTCATCCGGTCGGAGGAAAGCAAAGCATGCCGCCATGCTGCGCATCTGCATGGTGCTACATACACATGCTTGTCAGACGAAGCCTTTGCAGCTTCGGCTTTGTCAGCCTGCCATGGCAGAAACCAACGTCATGGAGCCGCCATGAAGCTGCACAGCCCAAGCCTGTCGTCTTGGAGGGGGCGGCGGAGGGGGCTCCGGAGAGGGCGATGGGTCACCTTGGCTGCGGCTGCGCTAACGAACATGGTCTTTGCAGACTTCCGCTTCCAGACGGAAGCTTCAGACATCCGAGCTCTACCTTCAATGGTAGCCAGGACGATTCCCTCGAGGGTGTCGTGTGCTTGTTCTTAGGCTCTGGTGCGTGGTGAGAGGTTAGATGGCAATCTGTGGAGTGGACTCCGGTGTTCGCCCAAGTAGCAGAAGGCAGCGTTTATCTTCATACATCTTGGTACATCTTCTCAGAGCGGAACGCTGGGGCACTGGGTCGCCCAAACGCCAGCTTCCATCAGGTAGGACCAAGACCTGTCAATGTGCGGCCTTGCACCGTAGCTGTGCAGACTTGGAGAGGGATTGCAAAGGAAAGATAAGCCCTCGAGTCCTAGAGAAACCCAATGTGTCCTCTTCAGTCTCCTCGGCGGTCTGATCAAGCAACATCTGAACGAAGGAGTCGACTATCAAGTCGCGTGGCCTGCGGATCGGCCCGTTGCATGCACATGCGCATCGACAGTCCTGGCCTGAGCTCGAAGCTGCAGGTTGGGCAGCGCCAGCGGCTGTTGAAGGCCTTCATCCGATAGTTTGAGATGAGGTAGGCATCCAAGTCCAGGCACCTCGAGCCAGGAGTCCCACAGAACAAAGCAGCAGAAACGGAAGAAGCTAAGGAAGTTGCTGCAAATGACGGCAGCCCTTGCCTGCAGGCACCCGAATTTGAATGCATGGTTCGTCGAGACTCAAAACGACTTGGGGAGTGATGGTACCAAGCCCGAGCGCACCCAACCCAGTCGACCAAAATCTCTCACGCCTAACGGACCGACATGGACCGACAGCGATTTGACATATTCGAGATGTCGGTGAACAAAAGACGGCACCCAGTAACAGACTTTAGCTTGTTGCAGCAAATATCAGAGTTACAGGCAGAGACGCTGCACAGCAATCTGGGCAGGAATCTGGCCTCTGACTGGCAGTGTTGTCGGGCGCGTCAACGTGATGGGACACCTGAACGCATCTGAACGCTGCACCACAGCTGCACAAAAACGAATCGCAATGGCTCACGTACGGGTCTGTACGGGTCTGGCCCCACGAATCAGATCTGGATACACCCTAAAAATAGGCTGTAGGCATCGCAGAGCAAGTTGGGTGCGGGAGTGGTCGGGCAACCAACAACCGTGCTGTAGAATGGCCAGATTGCCGGATCCGACGGCAAGCAGCTGACCCGCTCAGGGTGACGCGCGATGGTGGCACGACCAGCCGTCTGATGAATCTGAACACACCACGTCGCGTCCAGACCCCTTCAGTCTGGATAAGTTCTTCGCCGGGTCTTCCGACAAGTCCGGACTACTTGTCCAGACTCCTTTCCGCACGTCTTGAGACCCCACGCCAGTGGCAGACAAGCGATGAGTCATGCAAGTATGCCCGGCTTGCAGACTTCAGGGGCCGGTCTGCGCTGGTAGCAAAGCTCCAGTCTGGGAGTGCGTGTCTTGTTTCTGTTTCTGGGATCATCTTGACCTTGCAGACTAAATCTGGCAGACCATCACGGGACAAAGCTTCGACTGGGCTACCATGTCAATGTGCCGCCCAGAAGCAGGAGCTTCAGATGCTCATCACCTACGCATTCCACCTGGGCCACCACTCCTAAATCTCAGAAGAGGGCAGTGTCATCGAATCTTCCATGCCGGCAACACCCCGTCGCCATCCGACGGTGCGGTCGACGGTGTGGGTCTTCGAAGCCCATCTGGGAGGCAGGCGCACAAACAGCAAAGTGCGAGGCCCGCACGGTGAATGCCCCGTTTAGATAGTTAAGTTTTCCGAGACTGTTCCTTAATCGCTTCGACCCACTGTTACTCGTCCCGTGATGTCCCTTGCAGACAAGGCGATGTCATGAGGCCCAGCCTGAGCCATCTGAGAATGTTCGTGAGCTGACCAGGATCTGCTGGACGCGTTCCAGGCATTCCTCCCGAACCCAGGAAGAAGGTCATTGCCTCAGGAGCCCGGCGTGTCTCCTTGTACTCGGCCGTCTGAACTCCCTCTGCGAGGTCTTGAGGCTTCAGAGGGAGGGTCCTCCCGACAGAAATACACCATGCGAATCAGGGAACAAAGAACAACAGCAGTCCTAACCACGGCGAGTAGATAATCACGCCTCAGGGCTTTGCAAAGCTCGTTGCCACTACTCAGAAGTCAACGCTAACTAGAATGGAAAATGTCTGCCTTCTTTCGTCCTCTGCCGTCACTTCGACGGAATTTGTGCCCCGCCGCAAGCTTGCCTGCCAACATCTCAGTCTCCGAAATTCGCCGCTCTGGCCAGACCAAGGTGCCGGCAGAAAGGCTTTGTGGAACGTCCCGCCGCTTGTGCCTGGTAAAGATGCTGGCAGGCCGTCCCATGCCCACTCTGTGCCCCGCGCCCTCTGAGCGGCACTTTCGTGGCAAAAACCTGCGGCAGGGCTCTCTCACGTGAAACAACGGCGCGCGATGGCGCGCGATGAGAGCTGCGCCTCCTTGCCGTTGACCAAAAGGCTCAGGAAGCTGGGCCAGGCCTGCAAAGTGGGCTGCGTCTCTCACAGCACCCGCGGCCGCTCTGGTCCCGCGGCATGCGCCTGCTGCAAAGCCTGAGGCTCGGAGGAAGCACGCCTCGTCAGAGTCAGTTGCAATGTCATGCAACCAGAACATGATATGTGCTTCGTCTTTCCGCCAACGTCACATCACTGGGCCTGCGAAGACCTCGCAGCTCCACCTTCACAGAAGCGTGGTGCCACATTGCAAGCATCCGCCAGCATGCCCTTCCTGAAAGAAAGGTCTTTGCAACCCTGTCTTGCATTGGGCAGTGCCCAGCCGTGCAAGCGACTCAACTGCCACGAAGGACCAGTGAGACGGTCACCGAAAGACGTGAGAAATGCCCCTGACGACAGAATGGCAAGCCCAGATTGCCAGCCTCGAAGCCTTGCTTTCTCCACAACCGAAGATCTGGAACCTGGCATTGGACATTGAATCATGCCACGTTTCCTTGACTCCGGCCGCCCGGTTTGTTTTGGGGTCACGGCTTGCAGCTGTGCCTTATGCGAGTAGGATGTGCAGTCGGGGCTGTTAGGGGTTGGAGTTTTGGGTATTTGGAATAGGTTAGGGCTTGGCATCGTGGTTTCGGGCTTGAATTTACGGCGTGAGTATCGAGCTGTGTGTTCTGAATCTTGTCTGGCACTGTGGGGTTAGGTTTGGGTGGGGGGCGGGTTTCTGGTTTGCTATTGGCGTTTGGTTGAGATGCTGCGCTTGGGGTTGGGTTTTGGGGTTTGCTTTTGGGAGCTTATACTTGGTGGTCGCTTAATTTGGGCCTGGTGTTTGGCTTGGTGTTGTGTTTTAAAGTTTGGTGTTGGGGTTCACGCTTTCGTTCTTTAGGACTAACTGAAAGGTAATTGCAACTCACATGAACGGATTAACCCCAGCAAGACGGAGGAAACGGAAATTAAAGCCCACACCCCAACTGTGCGACATTTGAAGAGACTTCTGAAGAGACAACGAGGCACTCGGAGAAGATCGGGAATCGCGGGCGTAGAAGAGCACCGAACTGTTGGGTAGCAAAAGCACATCATTGAAAAGGGAACAAAGCGCAAAGTGCCGGCACATCACGTTTATGATGCAACGACTGCGCGGCATTGTGTTTTGTCGATCCTGAAGACCTTTTGTGGTGCTCCTGCCTTTTTGTGCGTGGTGCCTCGATGTCGCGCCGGAGAAGGTGCTAAACCGTGACACTTGTCGGTGCCACGCAGAGGGTGCAAGTTGAGGGGGAAATTCAAACCTACCACATTCCACCTCGAGGTGGCATTCTTTGCGTTCTCGCAGCTTCACACCCATAGCCGGGACCCCTTGCAAAACCGGTGTAAAATGCACTGACGTTCGACAGTGTCGCCTGGAGACAGGTGCTTGGCTTTAGACATGGGGGGGTTATGTCAAGAGATTTTAAACACGCATTCGCTCTCTTTGATTCTTGGCATCTTCTCCCATGGCTTTTGTGCTGCATCTGAGTCGGAAACAAGTTGCGCGAAGTGGAGGCTTAATGGCAGGCTGGTCGGCGCTCAATGCCCGCTGCGTTTTCGAGGAGGCTGTTAGAACTTGAGGGCATCGAATCAATTCCTTCAGTGCTGGCCTCCAGAGTGAAGGCAAGGTGTCGACCAGGCAACACTGCCATGTACAAGACGTGATCGACCTCACAGCGACTGGCCAACTGGCCAGGGCTACGCTGCTCCTCAAAAAGCTCCGGTCATCCAACCTCCACAGGCTTGAAGGGATCCTGCTCGCGGAAGCAGCACCTGGATGCGAATGATACTGCCCTGAAAGGATGCATCTGGAAATCTCACACCTGGGCACTTGGCACGTTGCAGAGACGGTTGTGCCTCAACCTTCCCATTAAAGCAGTCTTCAGGATATCTTCTGGTCACACCTATCCTTTCAAGGCTTCGCTCACAGCAACGACGGATGTTCGTAAATCCTTGGGAACTGCTGCGCACGTGCCAGATAATCTGATAAGGAAAGTTGGCGCACGTCATCGATGAGCTCTGTGAAAGCGACGAGCTCTGTGCAAACGTCAAAGCGGCGAATGTCAATCTGTTTACCGAGAGTGAACAGCCCCTTTATCAGCTTGAGCCACGAGCTAGGAGCTAGATGGAGCTAGGGCTTCGCAAAGAAAACTACAACTCGCGAGCCTCTGCTCGATGGGCTCCAAAGGCTTCTGACACTTCTGGCAAGCGCCTGCATGGGATCCCACAAAGCGCGCTGCGGAGCTGCGACACGATCCGGCCCCTGACCTGGCTCTCCACACACCTCGTCGAAGCCTGCGCATCCAAAAAGTGGGCCCTGACAGGTCACGACTTGCCGGTCAGCTTGGTTGCAACACAGGATTACCGGGATGCCGTCCTCGTCGGCACCGATCTCTTCGGAGATCTTCGAACAGCCACGGTCCATGCATGCCGCGATTGGCGCTGCAGGCGTGATGGCTGCACAACCCGCCTCGTCTTCGCCTCCATCTCCGACTTCACATGGCGGCGAGGGCCCCATGCCCCATTCCGACAGCTCTGCAATTTAAGTCTCAGATTTGTTGAACTGCCAGTCTCAAGCGAGGTGGTGGGTTTGTTCCATGTCGATGCCGTGGGGTGTGTCTGGCCAGTGTTTTTATGTCAAAATTGGGATGGATACTGTTGATGTTTCGTTCTCGCGGCATGTCTGGGATCGACTTGGGGCCATCATCGTGAGCCAGCAAGCGCAGTCGGCGTGGAGGTGATCGCAGAGCGGAGAAGGGGCAGCATGACAACCATGGGCAGTTCTGGCCCCAGTACTTAAGTTGACTAAAGTGTAACTTTCCCAGAAGAAAACAGGCGCCGATCTTGACTTCTAAAGGCACTGTCCAAACCCAATAATCTCGCGACAACTTTTCCATAGCTACGAAGAACGACGCATTTGGCAAAGAGCACTGCATGCAGCATATGCTGACACTGCAGGTGTTCAACAAGCACAATCATCGCCCGGCAGTGACTCAGTTGTGCCTTCTGTGCTGTCGTCATCAGACGAGAGCGCAGCTATCTCAGCTTCCTCGGTTCGAAGCTCAGGCAAAGTCGCAAAACATGCCTCATGCCGGGCGCAATGTAAGAAGTAAGAAGTACGAGCATGAGCAACGTCATGAAGATGGTCTTTTCAGGTCACCAAGCCAGCCAAATATGAATCGAGTCAATCACGCCGAGTCGCGAAAAGCGCAACACATCGCAAGGCACACAACAAAGGCAAACATCGAACCCAAGACAGCTCGACCTAGTCCGCTGATTCATGTCTCATGTAAGCCGATGGAGACTAACATCGCCTGCCCAAAGCCAGTCTCAATAATACCGAAAACCCTCCCCGCGCACCCGGAAACCGAACCCACAAACCAACCTTTGACCTTCTGGGCTGTAGCCTGGACTGGAAACCCGCGATGTTACAATATACATTCTACACCGAATCTAATGTGGAGACGCGAATAATCCAGCGTGCCTCTTCAATGCGTGTTTTTCTTATTCAAGCCGGATACCAAAGAAATGGGTGTCCTAATTCAGGCGTTTTTGTTTTGGGCCTGGCTATTTTTGGGTTGTGTGCTTCCCTTCTAGTACTGGCCAATATTAAATTAAAGCAGCCACGACCCAAAACCGCCTTCCAAACCCTAAAACCCTGACCCCGAAGCCCGAGACTCTCCCTAAACCCGAAGCCGCCCTCAAGCCTAATTAAACCCTACCTTGAGCCTCATCTGCCTGAACCTTAGACCCCCCCGAACCCTAAAGCCTAAAACCCTAAAACCCTGGCCCTCAAGCCCGAAACTCTCCCTAAACCCGCAACCACCCTTAAGCCGGATCACGATCACGCATTATTCGAGCCGACCCCGTTTGGTCGGGGGGGGTCTATTCTTCGGGCCTCCGCATTATGTGCAACCTGCGAACCTTATCTCCTGCAGCACTTGAAGATGGCACCCCGAAGAACTGGCACCCTGTCGAGGTAACCCGACTTCCATTTCCCTGACTTGCGTGTGGCGCTGCGTGAAACACTAAAGATCACTAAAGGTTTCGGTGACTGATCAGGTCTGTTTCGCGCAACTTCTGGCACAGTTTGGCAGGATATTCCAAACCCTAAACCCTCAGCCCTTAAAGCCTAAACTTGGCCCTAAACCCTGATCAAAGAGCCAAGTGCTGACTAGGCTCGTCTGCAGCGTTTCTGCGAAGCTCCAACACTTCCCGAACTTGTGCAGCTGCTTCAATGTACGTTATAGCACTAAGTGGATTCACTATAGTCATGAGGTCCTTCCCCCAATCTCGATTGATGTACGGGATAGGCCCAGAGTTGTAGAAGTCTCGGAAGGCCTGCAATGGTATTCGAGATGTTGTTGGAGAGATAACAAACCACAGCAAAACGATCGGAAAGCCATCGAAGACGGATCTCATGACCGTTGAAAAATGCTCGATGACCTTTCCTGTCAGCCAGCTGTAGAGAACTCCAGCTGCAAGGGCGGCGTACACAATCCAGGAGTCCCAACCCAACAAGATGCCACGACCACAGACGCATTGAAGATCTTGGGAGGCCGTGACATTCGAGCTTATGAAGGCACCTGTCACAGGCTGCACAAACAATTCAACATGTTTAATTATAAACTTGATTCAATTGCCAAGCCTGACGTGGCGTCGCATGATCCAAGAGGCTGACCTGCAACCAAGGACCCCGTTCACTAAGCAATCACAGATGGAGGAGATTCATTTGTTTTGACCGGGAAGTCCCTGTGCCCTTCTCACTGCATCCATCATTTCCGAGGGATGGGCTCGGTCTTCACAGCACAAGTGGTGCATCGAAGTATCAAAACTATGCACCATGCCGTTTCTCTGGCCCAGGTGGGGCCTTATATCAATGAACACTTGGTTTACACCCCATGTTTCCTGCAAGAATAGGAAAATCTTGATTTTTCGGGGCCAGGCCGAAATTACGCTGGCCGCTCTGGATCACCACGCTGTCGAGTCGATGAAGAGTATAATTAGCTCCGCTCCCGCGAACTGGTTTCAAGGTTCGCTGCACACGTATACGCAAGCAGACTCGACATGTTTTCAGGCAATGCCGAACCCATTGTCGAGCATTTGCATCCCATTCCTCTTAGGTTCCTTCTAGGGTCTTTTTGCTTGGGTCTAGGCCGCTAATGAGCTTCATCGTCAGCTTGCACCGGCGCCCGAGAGGTCAAGGTTGCACCAATGCAGTAGAAAATGCGTCGCGGTCTCCATGCGACTATCACATCCTTGCCGATGCTGGCAGGCTTCGCCCGGCCTATGCCATGGGCCTATGCTGTGTTGTTTCCTCCTTGGGTGCTTTAGAAGTGCGCATCCTCGCGCCCGTCACCTAGCATATGTCGTGCCTTTTGGGGCGGCCTGCCTCAGATCCAAATGCATCGACAAATGGCTTCAAGCCCCACCAGGTCCCCCGATTGGCGGCCGGGTTCCCACAAAAGTGGTGACTTGAGCCAAAACAGCTTTTAGCTTCCTTCCCAACATCTAAGTAGATTCTCTGTTCTCTGTCTCCTTATCTCCTTGTCCTGCATCCCAAGCCGGATCAGCCTGGATTCAAGCTCCTGGAAACTTTTTCCAGAGTTTGCAAAGGGCTTGGACTGCCAATCCCCTCAACAAGACTAGCTGAACGATGCTAATCTGTGAAGCTCCACTTCAGGGACCGAAAGCAAAGTGCAGCCAAGGGACAGTCCCAGTAAGGTTTGGGCCTGTAGACCCAAAATGCCAAATCCGGGCGTCCTCCCTGGACTCCCAGGTACCCCATGACGGGTAGGAAGGCAATGCTCCACAGAAAGGCCCCGAAATCAAGCCGGATTTTGTTCACTATGAAAGGCGTCGTCGTCTTCTGAAGCGCCACCTCCATGATGACCGAATAAATGCACGCAACTGACGCCGACGCGGCCACGCAGAGGATGGCAGCCACGCTTGAGGTCTTCCCGGCCTTGCTACCAGCAACCGCAGCATCCATGAAGGCAAGAGTGATGGATGCATCGAACAATGCCGTGACGGATAACCATTCGATCCAAAGATATTTTCGCTTCAGTATCCAGCGACCAAGGACCAGCGAAAGTGGAGTGTAGATCTTTCCCATCGCTACGTAAAGCGAGGAGTTGATGCCGAGACCCATTGACAGGCCCGCCAACGCACCGACGACCGACTGCAGGAATCCCAGCAGCAAGAACTTGGGCAAGTTCTTTGGATCAAAGGCCTGTTTCAGCCCCTCAAGACCTCGGCAGCTCATCTGCGAGATTATGTCAAGTGTCAAGCACCCAAAACAGCCAAAAACATCTGCTTCCGAGCAGCCATGTATATTGATCGTAAGTACGCATGCCAAGCCCATCCCGCAGAAGGGTATGCCTACTTGCAGCGACTGCGGCACAAAGAAGCGATTTGCTGACACAGCATTCCTTGGTGGCTCAGGTGCTCACACAGTAGCAGGGTTCCCTGTCAGCATCACCGTTGAAAAACAAGGAAAATGTGTTTAGGCAAAAGAAGTATTAGTTCTTGTTGCTGCGAGCCTTTTCTGCCGAGTACTCACGATGCCTACTCTCTTCATCTGATCCCTGCCATGTACCTGTCATCTGTCGGATTTCGTTGGATGCGATATGGTGCGATGAAAGGCTGCTACAGGCCACACGAGGTCGAGTCGAAAATCTGTGGGGTGCTTTAAACGTGGCTTACCAAACGGATAAGAACCCTTCTTCACAGCCGTCCATGTTCCCAGAACATGCTCCTGCAGCCGATGAACAAGAGAGGCCCAAGACTGGCCCGTTGCAACCATGAGTGCGGCACATGCTCGTTGAGTTTGGGGATTAGGTTGGGATGGTTTGGTGCGGGGGGCAGGGCAGCGGGGAGACGCATTTGTGCAGAGGAGACAAGTTGATTTGATCGCGGCAGAAAGTTCTTCGACTCCTCCAGATGTCTTCCAGCACTGAGGGTTGCATCTGGGTGAAGAACTGACTCACGGCTTGCAAGCCGTCAATCTGTGCATCTAAGTGTCTGGAACTCCGTTTGCAGTGCATTCGAGACAATGTACAAGACCTCGGTAAAGGCATCTTCCTTTGAAAACATTCAATCACCACCATCCTGCGGTCACAACTCAGCATCCCACCGGTAACGAGTACTTCAACACATAGCCACACAGTGGAGAAGTCGTGTCCGCAGCCTCCTCTGGCATGGTCAACATGCTTTTCAGTGTGTTACTCACAAGGCATCATGCACTCTTACAGGCCTCACGGTGCTCATTACTGGGACATATAATTGCCATGAACGCTTGCAGCCCACCAAGCTCTCGCTTCGGAGTGAAGCCAGTGGCTTTCCACAGAAACTTCACATTCAATCTGCCAGTCTGGAACAAGATTGCACATATGAAGACGAGAACTGCAATCAGCGTTGATGGAATGGATCGAATGCCCCAGTTGTGTCCCAAAGTGATTCCCACTATTGGGTCAACAAGGCACGCACTCAAGACACCCACTACGGTCTGGATGAGGGACTTGGTGACAGTCGAAAAATGTTGAACGACAAGCCCAGCCCACCACATCTGTCCAACTGTCAGAAACAGGAGCACGAAGTGCCGCTTGCTCCATGATCCAAACATGACATCTGTTCGGGAGCCCCAGGTGCCGTGGTTGTAGTAATACTGCCACGTCCAGACTGCTCCAAGGAGCACGAAAGTCACGAAGTCTAGATGGACTCGATGGATGTAGTATCTGCCGTGCAAGGTGTAGTCACGGTGTGCCAGCTCTAGCCCGCGCGACAGATTCTTGAAGATGCGCTCGGATAGGACTGATGCCACTGCGCCAACGGAAATTCCGAAAAATGCGCTAATAATGCCAAGAAAGTTCGCATCCGATTTCTTGAAATCAAAATAGCCACAGTAATTTATGTCGCACCGCTCACGCATTATGAAGAAAGCGGGCGATGACAAGACGAGCATGGAGAGCGAGAGCCACTCGAGCTTTCCATATAATCTGCTGAAAACGAAGAAGCTGACGACGGCAGCAACAATCACATAAAGGTTATCCATCATGATGAAGATCCTGCGTGCGTGGGTGCATGACATTCTGCTATCTCCTGACGGTTCAATGCAGCCAAGTGTCACATGGTGCAAGCCTGATTCCACCGTGACGGTCAGAAGAACAGATTTCGCAGCAAATAGCAGTCCCACAAAGCTCCAGCGCCAAAGAGCAGCGAAGGAAAACACCCGAATGGCTCCCTCAGTCTCAGCTCTTAATCAGGCGAACCTGTGTGATCCCTTCTCACTCTTTCCGGACAGCTACTGCATCTCAATGCGTCGCACAGGTGTACAAGTTGACTCGCGTCTAGACTAGGCTTGTGACCCACTGCCCCTCCATGAAGAAGGAGATGCACAGCGCTATGGTCAATGAGACAGCACAGGCCATGACCTGAATGGACAAGTAGTTCACCTCGTGCCCAGCAAAGTCCCAAGCTCTTTCTTTCGAACCCTCCAGCACCGCGAATGTCAGCGCAATGGCACACCTGGCTCGATTTCCCACCCGTGGCGCCAACCACGCATAAAGTCGAGGTGCCCAGTAGCGAAGGCCACCGCGCTGGGGCATGGGAGTCTCACAGGACTCGAAGGATGAGTCGCTGTCTCCTGACTCCCGACCTTCATCACGACTCCTCTCATCGTGCAGTAAGCCAGAGATTCCCGTGGCGATGTCCGTCTCAAGATCTTGCCGCCATGACCCCAAAACGGAGCCTTGTACTGCATCTGCTCCAAACTGAGTCAGACCATGCAGAGTGTCAAAGGGCCGACTCATCGTGTGGTTTGTGTCCGTCGAGCGACTCCTCTGAATCATGCTGTGCACTCGGGCTACCCTGGAGACTGCATGCCTTCTGACCACAGCCCAAGTCAGGCAACAAAAAACTTTTCGTGATTGGAAGGAGCTGTTGGAACTGGACACTCGGATCAAGTGGCCTAGCAAATCTAAACGACTAGATTGGCAACACTGTGACGGCGAGGGTTGCATAACATCCGCTCGTAGATCGTGGCAAAAGGAGGAGCAACTGAAATGGCATTGATACTTGACTGAACAGCGGAGGCGCGGCAAGTAAAGCAGCGGTAGAGCCCACAGCTGACGACGTTTCCAGAGCGCCGCGGCCTGCCCCTTCTCAGATTTTCACTCGCTTCGAAGCTGGTTGTTCCAGCCGCTGTGAAATCACTCCAATCTGGCTTCTCCGATGTTTGGAAGAAGCCAGCAGCGCCTAGTTATGAACCCAGCTAAAGGAAGGACATGCACTAACACTAGCAGGTTTAGCCGGTATTGCCTATCAGAGCGAAGAGGGATGTGAAGGGAGAGGGAGAGAGACGGAGAGGACAGAGAGACAGAGAGAGAGAGAGCGGGTACAGAAATCTGAAGATAATTCAGTTGGTGCCTTCCACAACACCAATGCTGCGAGCATTAGCAGTCTTGAAAAGGCAACGTCCACCAGGCTGCTTGTGAAACAGAGTCAAACCCAAGCTGGATGTGACTGCAATTCTTGCAGCACCCGCTTTGCTAGATCATTGCCTCCTCCATTCCCCGAGTTTTTGTCGGGATGCCATCGCAGCAAAAGCTTGCGCTTGGCGCCGGCACGCTCCGCTGCAGTCAGACCACGAAGTTGGCGAAGCTCCAGTGCAACGAGTTCCGATACCACTTCATCCAAGGATTTAGCAACCGTCTGGCATGCTGCACGTTGGAGGTCTGTGCTCAACTGGCGGCCCTGCATTTCTAGCGCCATTGTCCGTCTTTCTGCACTTCGCAACTGCTGCTGCAGAAGGCTGCACTCTTGCTTAAGCTCGTTTGCTGTGCCAACCGCTTGTTTCGCAGTGGCCTCAGCAGCTCGCCGTGCCTCACGTTCTTTTTCAAGCTCCCTCTTCAAGGCATCGATCTCAGCATTCTTTTGCCGAATCCCGCTCAGAGAGTCGAGCCCTTCATCACCACAAGTCTCACCAGCTGCCAAGGCTGACAGCACCTCCTCCTCATATAATTGGGCCAGGATCTCACCAGCCGTTAGTCCCCTCGGTGTGGAAGTGCCAGACCTGTCGCGTGACAGATCCAACAAGGCCCAAACATGCTCCACTACAGGTCAACTCCACCCTCCTGCCGCGAATCCCATACTGAAGCCAACCCTAAGTATGCTTCTTTGCCCAATGTCGCCGGGTATCGACACCAGGGGGCCTCGCGGTAATACGATTGGCACTTGAACATGTCGAGTCTGAGGACGCCGGTGAGGTGCTCCCGTTCTTCCGCAAATAATTCGACAAATAGTACGGCCTCCGACTTCGTGCGGCTCGCCGCTCGAGCTCCGCAGCCTGAGCCTCTGCCTCAGCGGCAGCCACGGCCGCAGCGCTGATGCTTGTAACGGCACTCCCAGGGGGCCTCAAGAAGCTGTAGCCGCTCCTTGTTTCACGCACCGACACTTCCCGGTCCTGCCCTGCCTCGGGAGACCGGCTTCGCTCTCGTTACCTCGGATCCACTGCATTCGAAGGTTTTGGCACAAATTTGCACGAGGCTGGGACAGCTCTGCACGGCCATCGCAGGAGGACAAACCTCGGCCAATGCCCGTTGCTGACCTACACACGCCGCGTACTTGGAAGCCGGGCCCTGTGCAGCCACTAGCAGCCTGGGGAGCTTCCTTGCAGCCTCTGGCAGCTCCACTTCTGCCTCCTCCGTCTAAACCAGGAGCAGGCACAGGCTGCTGCAGGTTGCTGCAGGTTGCTGGTTGCTGTGTCCTTGATGCCACCCGGGTGCAAGACTGTGGCCAGAGCCGACTCACTGCTTGGCCACTCTGCATACACCCGAACCTCCCGCTGAGGGAACTAAGGTCACGCAGGAGCGAAGCTGTCAGAATTAAGGGCTCTGCTAGCCGAATGGGAAGAGACCGCCGGACTCGAATGAAGGAAGGTGGGCCTCTGCAGAATTCAAGCGAAACAACACACCCCCGGCATCCCAGACCAGCTCAAAATCTCAGGGCGAGACCTTTCGCCACCGGGACGACGAAAAAATCCCAACCAGGCTCATGTCTGGCGAAGACCACAGTGCACAAAGCAGGCTTGAACTCGCTTAATCACGCCAAGCCGGCGCCAAGGGTCCTGCATTCCCCTCTCCACCCTGGACATACACCGGCAGAACTCCCTTCGCAAGATGCTTCCTCGAAATGCCACAGCATGCCGGCACCTCCAGCCAGTCCACCCCATCATAAGAAAAAGCGCACCTGGCTGGAGCACTGCGGATGCACAGCACCATGGTTGCGGCAAGCTTGAAAACCTGATTGCATCCGCCACCATTACCTGCGGAGAGCTTCTGGTTGCGTGATGCGGCATGCGTGGCATGAGTGCAGACGTTATGCAGCCTCAAGTCGCAGAGGGCTGCATGCTCGCAGGCGACATGCTTTCGAAAGCACGTTAAGATGGGTTACAAACTTGGATGGGGCTTGTTGTCAACACCCCTTGGGTACATGTCGTCTTTGTTCCCCCATCTTGGTCGGCGAGGACTGGATCCCAGCTGGCTCAAGATCGACGCATGCAAACCTTGAAAGCATCCGTTCACCGTGCCGCGGAGACGGTGCCAAATTCTTTCTCTCCCCAGCCACTATCGCAGTATGTCAGCAAATTTCAGCAGGCACGACTCAGATAGTAGCAGAGCATAAGTCTGTGGAATCTGCTCAAAGCTTCTCTGACGTTACGTCGTTGCAGTCTGCTGCTTCTGATGGACCTGGCCCTATGTGCATTGAATTGGATCTCTCGCAGAGATTGTGGATATGTGGATAGAACCTGAACTCATCTGCAGAGCTTTCACGATTCATCCAGTCCAATGTCCAACACTTCCATTACATTCCAGTACATTATGGTACTGCACCTGCATATGCTACTTTGCAATGTAGCAACGCTCGGAACCTCAGCATCACTCAAAGTAGCTGCCCGCTTGTGTGATTGGGGAGAGCCCACGGCCTCGTCTCAATACAGTTGCACTAGCCTCTGCCTCGATGGCTCTTGACGATGGAGTTGATAGCTGATTCATGTCAAAGGCCATCCTGCCTGAAGCGCTTCAGCACGTCCTGCGAAATCACTTCGCAGGAAACCCACTTCCGATGGACGTGTTCTGAGAACCCAACAGCACCTTCCAAGAACCGGGTTGCAGACTTCTGGGACTGGCAAACCATTTCTGATGCGCTTCCATTTCGGAAGCCACATTGGTCGCATATGGTTGCATCATGATCTTGGAGACTCGAGACTCTGCTTTCCCTGCTTGCATGAATTATCATGACTTCTTCCAATCCTAAATCTGGAGCTTCAGGCCAGCTTCAGGGTTGGAGCTGCAAAAGGCTAGACATCTTCCCTCTCCACACATCGTGTAATGAATACCTGCAAGCATCGCAATGTCCCAATGCACTCCACGCTCGTAGGAAATTCTCGCGCGATCTCGCGCGGCATGCTTCTGTCGACGTGTCCTCCTCGACATCATCCTCCCACTCCCCTGGCAAGGCCAAGCAGGATGAACACACCCGGGAGGCAGGAGGATAGAGGAACAGGGAGACAGAGAGATTGCAAAAATTTCATGCCGCTCTTTGCCGACGCATTCTTGGGCAGTTGTATCCTGAGCTACGAAGATTGTGCAATATCTTATCATGACACAGATACCGGATGTTGATGTCTATCGGCGTCACTGATAGCTTCCGGACTCAATTCGTGGGCAGCATTCTCGCCTTGCAGCTCTTCAGCTGCTGTTTGGTACGTAAGCGCGCTCTCCTGCGGCATAACGAGAGCCCAGGCACAAGAACGCCAACACGCGCGCACACACACACGCACACACACACTTGACACGATGTGTCGGCAGGCCTCACATCTGTCGGGTGAATCAAGTATAAATGAAATCAGTGAGTGTCAGGAACCAGCCTCAGACCTGAGACCTCTCACGATCGTAATATATCAGAATGCCGCGGCGAAGGAATCACTGGCACAAAGCACTCACATGCACTCACTATAAGCGAAAACAATTGAAGCAACATCAAGGTCAATTAGAATCAGCGAGAGTCAAGACTCAGCCTGGGACCTGAAACCTGCCTGCTGCTCACAGATTGACATGTGATCAAGAAGCATCAAGAATCACTCTCAGAACAACATGTTTAGTGACCACCAGCTGGCACATCCCCAGGTGCGTCATTATGGCAGGTACACTTGCACGGCATACTGAATAGGTTTCGCTGGCCCAAGCCATCCAATAGCCCTTGGGCCCCCCGCTGTAAACATAGCACTGCACTTCTTTGACTGACGACATCGCACTTTGCGCAACAACTGCAATCAAAACGTGGCACTTCACTCCTATGGCTGACAGCATGGCACTTTATTCAAGCAAACCCCGAGAGGGGACACACAAACACACATACAAATAACAAAAAACACAGACACACACACACACACCCGCGCGCGGACAATCTCTTGCTGTTTCGCTAGCTCATCAGCATGCTGGATTAATCCAGCTAGATGTTTCAGACTATGGCAACATGCTGTTGCGTTTGCTTGTCAGGCTGCTGTCGTACACGCTGAAACAAACGACAACTTTCAAGACTCATCTTGCCAGCTCATTCGTCATGGCGTGGATTTGTCCGATCAAGCTTTGCTGGCAATGTACCTGTATCAACTGTGTCGAAAATGAGTCACCCCATTGACCATAGACGAGAACGGCATTTCCGCAGGTAGCAGCGGCATTGAGGAGGCAAATGTTGGGAAAGGCTTTGACATGCCGAATGCACACGCAGCAAAAGAAACTACAGAGCTTCTCTCCACGGGCCGAAACCGATGAGGTCCCAGGGCCTGAGTGGACTTCGTCCTGCGAAAGGAGACGGCTCACCTCCGTATCCTTTTGCGGTGCTCAGTAATAGCTTTGCTGCCGAGTACCTCGCCAGTGCATACAAGTAGCAAGCCCTGGACATAGCATCACACTGAAAGCGCGGTTATTCTCTTGAAGCATCATGCATGCGGCATTTCGCAGGCATTCGCCCTCCCAATCAGAGTGAGCAACGGAATTCTGTTATTTGCTGCCGCCCTACACAAGCAAGTTTCGGAGACTTGGAGAAAGAACCGTCTGCCCATGTCCGCCCATTAGGACTCGTTAACTCGACGTTGGCTTGAGACAACGCCCGCTCCAACATCAACACTCAAGGCACTCCTTCACAGCAGCTAGCTGTGTCTGCAACCTGTCCGTCTGCAGGGTGTGGTCATGTTGCACGATGATATGCCGCATGCAGCTATGCACAATCAGGCAGTGTGCTAGCTACAGTTCGGTTCGCTACCACGCAAGCAACAAGGGCACGGCCAGACTTGTCATGGTCAATACCGTCGCGCCTTCCTGCCAAAGCTCGGAGGTTTCGATTCTCCGCTTGGAGGATCTTCATCTTCGTCTCCTGAAAATATCTGAAAATCTGCATTTTCAATCTGATGCAATGTCGGTCGGGTAACCCTCTTTTATATGCACGGATGCCGCTCGCCCACTGAGTGCTCCTCATCTCCTGCATCTGCATCTGCCACATACCTTGCACTATAGCAGCTACAAGTCCCCCACCGACCGACAACGGCAGCACGGCAGCAGTATGAATCTTGGGGCATTAGCTTGCACTGTGAAGTTGGCCTGCGCACTCGCGAAGCTCGGTCCTGAGGGGGCCAGACACTTATTAATGCACAGTTGCGAAAACCGCCTGCCTGAGCTGCTGCCTTGCCGCGGCGCGCGTCCTCGCCCCGTGAAAACGGCCGCGCTATGGCAGAGATGAAGTGCGCAAACTAGATTCGGTTGAAGTGTTCAAGCCGAGTGGCAGAGCAGCTTGCCGACCTCTGCGGAGCAGGGTTGCCAGAGGGCCTCAAAGGACGCTGCGGAACGCAAAGGCAAAACCGAAGTCGAAGGCTTTGCCAGTTTGCTTGGCCTCCATGGGACTTTCGAACTTTGCGGTGTCTTTGGACTCCTGCAGCAGTCCACAAATGTCGCCGCATCCGTCCTTCCAATTCACGTCAAACAAGTATGCCTGGTGCTCTCTGTGGACAACCTCCGTCTTATTCGTTCAACGGGTGGGCTTTGGCATACCTGCAAGAAGGCAGCGAGGCGCAACAGAAGCAGCCAGGCCCGTGTGCCTTGCGAGTATGGCGATCACAGAATGCATCCATTGAAAGTCCAGTCTCCTGGCTCGCGGGGCTACATGGCAACGATGACGCCTGACTGCTGTGGCTAATCTTCCTGCCAAAGGAGTCATGCAATGTCATGCACCACCCGCAGCCGAACATGTCACGTCTTCTGCTGAAGCATTCTACGACGATGCCAGAAGCTTGTCCAAATGTGTGACTACAACTAGTTTGCTCCTGCACTCGGCGAGACTGACGCGAAGCCTCTGCCTCACGGCGAGAAGCTTTTACAATACGCTCTGGCCGTACTGCACAAAGCGATAGACACCGTTTGGGACGCAGAGGTGCTTGCCGGTCGCAAGGGGGATGTCGGGGCCGGTGTCAGGCCGGCCTCGCAAAGACGGGAGCCAAGAGAGAAAGAGGGGAGAGGGAGCGGGAGAGTCTACGAGAGTCTGTTCTGTGCTCTAGGCACCTGTGAAGGATGACCTCGACGAGGCGATGGCGTGCTCGGAGGCCTCGCCTCAGCTCTGAAAAGTGAGCGAGAGGAGTGGCAGTCGCCCTCTGCAAGCGCACCCACGCTGACCAGGATGGCAAGCCAGCAGCCATGGCTACAGAGAACCCCAAGGCCCTTGCCCAGAGCCTACGGCTTCCAAAACGTCAGCTTGAAACACACAAGATCACACAAGGCGGCAAGGATATGCCAGGATGGACTTTGGAATTCAAAGCGCGGTCAGGGCATGCGGCATGGACTCCGCAGCCGCCGCCCTCTGGTCAGCTTTGCCAAGACCGGAGGGAGGGTCTGCAACGCAGACGCGCTAAACTCCTTAAGGTGGTTTATCTGTCGAACTGAGCATTGAAAAGACTCTGAATCCCATCGCATCGAGCGCCTGCAAAAGCTACCTTTGCTCGCAGCTCAGAACAAGAAAATTGGTAAAAACACGGGAGTAGCCAATTACGCTGTCACTCTCAAGATCTTCTTGTTCTCGTGGCTAGGAGCCAGTTAAACCATTTTGGAATCAGATCGTGGCAGTTCTGATTGCAGAAGCTTGCAGCCGCTGCAGTCCAGGTATGTACAGCATCCACGCATACCCACTGTCACTGCACGTACTTGCATGTACTACCATGCTTGCAGAAACATTGCTATCTGCTGACATGTGCATTGCCGCATATTCTTGTCGACTTCGATGGACACAGTCATCGTCGCAGTGCACAGTGAGCGATAGAGATATTTGAGCGCAGGTGCAACGACGGAAGCATCCAGTAATGCCAGTGTCCAGAACTAGTGCGGAACGTACATTCTGGAAGTTGCATTTGTCGTGTCCTGGTTTCTGTACCTCGTCACGTCTCTTCGCCTCAATAGTGCTTTGGCCGGTAGCTGCCGTCTGCACAAAGTCAGGTAAAAGGCTTGAACTCGAGACCTCAATCGGCACAGAGGGTTGTATATCGGAACTATGCAGTGGGAAAACACGGAATGATGCCGAGTAGTGCGATGCCTGACTGGCCTCCAGCTACTCCAACAATGCCGAACAGTGAAGCATGGTGGTCAGCAGCTGTGTCACAGGCATTCATCGAGATCAACCAAACTAGCACCTGGCCTGCACATGACTGCACTGGCAGTTGCGTAGCTCAGTTCCGAACAAAAACTGCAATCAATTGCCGGCACCTGCCGATCGACACAGCGCACAGACGTGCTAAACATGTTGAAAGGTTGTAAGGCAATGTTGCTTGTGTCTGCGTGCGGACTTGTACCGTCTGTGCTTTCTCCCACCGAATGTACGTGTTCAATCTTGAATTCTTTGCGCGCCTGGCTGCAAGAACTTTGGCTACTTGGTGTGGATTGTGCCAACTGCGTTTACAGAAAGGATTGACCGAATGACCGTGTTAATGGTTGATTCCTTGAGCGATTGGGCGCCTGATTGATTTTCGACTGACTGAATGACCTGACTGGACCTGACCTGACCTGACCTGACCTGACTTGACTCGACGACTGGTTGGTTGTTTGGTTGATTGATGGCGTGCTTGTACTTGAACGATTGGCTGATCTGCTTGCTTGCTTGATTTCTTGATTTTTGTTGGTTGCGTGGTTGCTTGATTGATCGATTGATCGATTGGACTGGTTGGGATTGCATGCACCCGAGAACTTTTCTGCGACTGCTCAGTTTCAACGCACCAAATCCTCTCTCGTTCCTACCTGTTCTTCCCAGCAAAGCCCCAAGCCTGCAAGCCAGCTCACCATCAGTTCACCATTCCCGCTCTGCACCTGGGTCGGACATTCATTACTCTCTGAGAGACGTCGGAGCGGCCATCAAACCAACGGCATGCAGCTCTTCATGAAACAATCTACCAAAACCTGAACGCTACATGCTGACCAGGCATTGATCCCTTGTGGTCAAGGATGCAAATTAGGCTTCCTCTGCAGACGGTAGTTGTCCGCTAAACAACGAGTGCTTCAAATTCATTTGTCAACTTTCTTGTTAGTTCCAAGGTCGGCACAAGCCGGGACAGGTGGAATCAAGGCGCTCCCAAGCAACCTTGAGTTTCAGAAACGTTGGCCAGGTGACACATCTTTTGCGCGGCCCCAGCACTCGCCCAGGTCTAAAGATGAGGCAGGTTGGAAAAGCTGATCAAAGTGTTCGGATTGTATTGGGGCAAAACTTATCGAAAGCGGGAATGCTCCATTACGTTTAGACGTGGCGTACATGTCTATGCGTGTGCGCGCACTGTTGCTCTTGATCCTACTTGTCTCGGCAGCATCCTTATTATGATAACTTCTCTTCTCGGCACTCGTGCGCTTCATCTTCCTGAGCTTGTTCTGAGTCTGCTTGTCAGCCCTTCGCCACCTATCAGTCGTGTATTCAATAGCAGACCTCATCTAAGGCCGGCTTGCTCCCAAATTATGCTCATCTATCTGCCTGCCTGTCCTTGTCTGTGTTTGCTATCTGGTAAGCCGTCTGTGCAATTGTCCGTGCTCTGATGAAGTGGCAGGACAAGTTTTTGTTTCTGACTCTTCGTGAACGGTTGTGCACATGGCAGACAGAGGAGCGACACCTTTTGCATCCGTTCGCCCTAGGGCACGGACGTCAAGAAGGCAGGACAAGGGACACTCGGGTTAGATTGGGCTTAGGTTAGCCTACGCCGTTTTTGGAGCGAGCCTCCAGCAAACAACTGTTCGATCGCCGAAGCTTGCTGCGGTCCGGTCACCTTCCGATACAAAGCTGATACGGTATGCTACGTAGGGTCTAACAGAATTACCTCGTCTACGCTTCTACAAGAGTATTCGCCAGGGCTGTCCAAGCCAATTTCCCCGATCCAAAATCCGGAGCAAAGTTCACCAAATCAATCGGGCGGGTTGCACAGGTAGTCCTAACTGCGATAACCCGACCCCTGACGGGAATTTACACACACACACACAAACACATGCGTACGACTCCACATGCCTGCCTTGACATGTGAAACAAGCCTTGCCCGTGCAGCGTCCTTAGGACAACCACGTCGGCACAGACACTGTTCTGTGTTTTAGGCTTCTGAGAAGGCAAAGAGATCTTGTGACAAGTGAGGCAGCCGCAGCATCACGCATCTTTACCACAGAGCGGACAAGTCTTTCGGCACTCTGCCAACCACCTGGCTCAATCACGCTTGCATACGGCGAGGCCATCGTGGCCGAGATCGTTCGGGCAGCACGGAATCGCAAAAACTTGTCAGGGTCGCTTTGAAATACAGCCGCGGTGGAAGTGATGCTTGCAGCTCATCGCAGTGACATTGCTGTCTTCCTCCGAGCATCTTCAGCCATACGACCATCGCTCCCGATCCAGTTCAATATACTTGCTGACAACGCTCGAAACGCCGCGCCATTAACAAAAATGTCGAACGGAGCCTGGAATGGCATTAAGCATATGGAGCACACGCCACCTTGGCAGCACGTGCACCGCACAAAGAAGTGCCAAAGAACTGGCAGTTTCTCTAAGATCGGAACCTGAGAAATCTGCCGGCAGAAGGCTCGGAAGTGCCTGACCCGGTGTGGGTCTGGGCATGGCGACGACAACTTGCGCTCTAACATGTGTCACGACGCCTCAATGCGGTCGCTGCTTGCAACAGGTGGTGCTACCGCCTCAGACAGAATCAAGATGCCAAACCTGGCCAAAGGCTGCTTCTCGGTGAGTAGTGATCACTGCCCGGCCCGGTCCAAGCGCAGCAGCAATTCGTAATCGTCTGGCCTCAACCACCACGGAGCTTGAAGGATGACAAGGCAGAAACCTCTGGGAAGTTCCGACGTGATCTCGCGCGAAAGGAGATCGAAGACCTCACGACGGTCTCCAGTGTCTCTCAGGTCCCGCATGTGCTGTTTAACAAAGCCCGCCCCGCACCTCGACAGATGTTAGCCCACAGGGCAGCTGCACTGGAATCGACGGGGAGACCGAGGAGAAGCGGGGCCTCCAAATGAGCGCGGGTCTCTTATGAGTCGAACAGATTACAGAAACTCGCTATTTCACTGTTGGGCCCCTGTCTTGCGTAAACTTCCACCATGTGTCCCGGTTTCCAAGCTGCATGTCGCTTGAACACCACGGCATCTTCCTTCTTTTCGGCCTCCAAGAGCTGGAGCGACGCCGACTCCTGGCGCGAGCTACCAGTAACTCTTTTATGGAAGAAGCAGATGCTGGAGAAGGTGGCTTGGGCTTGCCGCAAGCTGGAAGCCTGGAATGCCCTTGACACATCTCCTACAAAACACCTCAAGTACTCAGCTCCTGGAACCTTGAGGATCAGCTCCTCACATTAGTGCTCCGTTCCTTTAAAATCGCACACCACATCTCAACTACTCACGATGATGGGTTCGCCTTAAAGCAGCACAGGGAACGAAGCTCGGAGGGTTTTGTATTGGATGGATGTCGGCCCGGCGGGTAGGCGGGCTTTTATCCGTGGGATTACAGCAGTAGTAGTAGTAGTAGTAGTCGTAGTCGTGGTGGTGGTGGTGGTGGTGGTGGTGGTAGTGGTGGTAGTGGTAGCAGCAGCAGCAGCAGCTCAAGGTCATCCTTGTCAGAGTCTGGGCGTCG